AACAAATTATTCATAATAATGATGACAATAAAATAATAGATCTAGGAAAACCCAGTTATTTGATTGGACAAGTTGATAAATGGTCAAACATCTTGTTGATCGATTTTGAATTAAAAAGACTAGTTATAATAATAGATGGAAATTAGAAACGAAAATTTGGCTAAAATGAACAATAACTTTATGCATTTTTCACGCTAAATTTAACACTAGGAGTAAAAAAATTGTCCGATGTTTCCTGGTTTTCAGTGAGTGTCTAGCTAAGGCCGGTTCATGATTTGAATTATGAGAATTCCACAATCTCCACAAAATCATATGTTGATAATGTTCATTTGCTCACTAGTGACTAAATTTAAGGTGTAATTCGTGAAGTTCTAGTTAGAATCGGTGATTAGTGGAGTCCAACCATGCCGGGCAGTTATCCACCGCAGATAATGGAAAATGTCCGTACACACCATTGGATCGCGACCCAGTGATCTAGAGGTTAAATGTTCTTACGCGAGACCGAAGGTCCTGGGTTCGGTCCCTTGTTGTGAGGCTGTAGATTGGTACTATATATATATATATATATATATATATATATATATATATATATATATATATATATATATATATATATGATATAATAAATACCATCACTCTACTGACTAGTCATTTCAAAAAGAGAAAAGAAAGAACACAAACACATGATCGTTATTGAACTTGACCGACCTGATCAACATGTCGTTGTAGTAATAACAACAAAAAGACAATACCCACTTCATCATAACACTTCTACTAACTATCTTATGGTCTAAAGTAACTTTTTTTAAATCTTCTATTCCATATGGTTATTTCTTAACCTTTTTTATTCAGGTCTAAATTGTTTTTTCTTTAAAAAAACACAACAACAACAGTAATTCGTCAAAGCTGAAATAATCTATTAGAAACCAATCACTTGTATATTTTCGTCTTTGTCTTTTTCTCGAAATAATAACGTATCGTATTGATCAAATTGATTATTTTCTTTTTCAAGTTTATTGGTCTGATAAATAATTTTGACTTTCTTCCCTTTTCTTCCATCTGATTATTATTATTATTATCATCATCATCATCATTACCATTTCATTAGATTCTGTTGCTTGAAAATCTTAATTCTATTCATCTACTCTAATTTTTTCATATCAATTTTCATCGTAATCAATTTTTCTAATAGAGAAAGAGAGTTAAATAGACATTGAATATGATGATTTTTAATTTACCAGTTGTTTAAAGTATGTCATTGACACTTCTGTGTTAATGGATAGTATCACTAACCTTTACATATATTGTATGATCCAAATATGACTACATGATTTTGTGCTTTGTAAACAAGTTATATCACTACTATTTTGACAGGATGATTTAAAAATGTTGACTTATTTAATAGGAACTCCAATAAATCAAGAGATAATATTCCATTTGACTTCAGTATTAAGGTACATTCGGTCCTTAGACACACTGTTAGCATGAGGATTAGTAACACTATCCAGCAGACGCGAACTGATGTGGGTGTTGCAGGGTTCGAACCTTAGACTGAGTAACTAGAAGATGAAAACTTTCACCATTAAGGTACCTCTTTCTATTGATGTCTAGAATCTAGTGATTAGGATACTTCGTTGTAATTCCGTATGCATGTATTTACACAAATAACTGATTTGCGAAAGTTCAATTTTAAAAATGGATAATATTTAATACTAAAGTTCCATCAAAATATCCCTAAATGATTTTTTTTTTGATGTTTAGACACTCATTTATCACTTTTCAGTCAACTTTATATTCATACTTCTTTGGTATTCTTACTTGTCTTAATTTTAATAGGTTGCTATAATCTTGGCTATAAATGTTTAATTTCGATTTGTGGCCAGTTTAATCAACCTAACATTACTGTTTTGTCAGAATAATTCATATTCACAAATCACTTTAATGTAGTCGTTTTTTCAACATGTTTTAGGCATAAGTTGTTGGTTAGTATACGTTGTTGAACATTTTGTGACATTCCCGTTCATATATTGGTTACGTGAAGTGGCTTTTTCAGTCAGTCCACAATTTATATCCTTTTTTTTAATGTAACCATCTAAAATGCGTGCTAGAGTGCTTACATCGATTTGTAGTTGGCAAAAAAAATAAAACAGAAAACAGTATAATTAAATACTCGTAAATAAAGTAGAATGTGTCATAAATCTGCTATATGTTAGTTCTAGTTGATTAACTTCATATTCACATCGTTAAACAACAAAATTAGAATTTAAAACGGTCGAAGTAATAGTGTCTGATGATAGTTGCAAATTAAAAATTGACCATAAGCTCTGACACAACCAGTAGTTTTCAAGTAAAGAGTTTATACATGGTTGATTTACTTTTGAGACATCTTTCAATAATAGACACTACCACAGAACTTCACGATCGACAGAATCGTGTGCTGCCTTAAGGTCAAAGAACACAACCATAGTTGGACGCCGAAACGTTTGTCTATGATCTAGAGTCTGCCTAATAGTGAGTATTTGGTCTATACATCCACTTCAAGGTTTGAAACCAGCCTGGTTTTCCTGAGTTTGCTCTTCACGAGCACTAGTTAAGCATTGGATAATTTTTATGTCCAATATTTTAGATACTATATTAATTAAACTAATTCCTTTGTAGATATCACAAGCGGATCTTTGTCCATTCTTATAGACTGGAATAATTAGTATTCGTGACTAATCAGACGAGTTCATATCCAATTCTCAGACTCTAGTTGATATCTCAGTCCATTCAACAGCTTAAAATGAACCACCATATTTAAAAATTTAAGTAGTTAATCCATCAATACCAGCTGCTTTTCATCGTTTTAGATTAGCTATGGGATTTCCTAAATCTTGAAGAGCTGGGATCTTTTGTCGACATCCCATTTAGGTTGCATGGTAAAAGTAGGCAACTTGTGGGTAACTAGAAAGTTGTTGCCATGGATCCAATTCAGTTTACAGTCATATATTAGCAGTATCCTGAAAAGTAGATACTTGAAATTACGACGTTTTACAGCTTAAGTAGGTTGCTTCTCCAGAGAATCCTGCCAGTCTTGTAGAAGTCTGGCAGGTTGTGTCTCCCTTACTTGAAAGATTTCTTCTGATTGTACCTTTCCGTTCCATCGTTACGACCACACTACCTTACACCAATCTCTTCGTTATCGTTCTCTTTTTCTTTTGTGCCCCTTAGTTTTTTTTTTCTTTTCTATCTCTCTTCGAATTTTCATTGTTTTGTGTGGCGCATATATATTGGGGCTCTCTTGTACCAATATTTATGTGCTCAAATAAATAAATAAATAATAAATAATAATCTCCAGAGAATGGATAAATAGTTGGTCGGTTTGAACTAATACATGAACGTGTGTCAATTGAAGACGGTTATTTATTTATTCACTCTTTAAAGAATCAACTTACACGAAACTATCAAACGTTAAAAGTTCGACTTTTTATTCATTGAGGTACTACAAATACATCATTAATTTTATCAATAATATTTCTGTTCATTCGAGTGTAACGAATTTTCTTTGACATATATTTGCATGAATTTTTGTTGTTGAATTTAACTAAGTCGATTAATTTAAGTAGTACAAAAACGCACTATGTGTAAACACGAAGCTTGTTTAGACAATACAAACATGTTGGTACATATCATTTACTATTATTATTATTATTATTATTATTATTATTATTATTATTATTATTAGTAGTAGTAGTAGTAGTAGTAGTAGTAGTAGTAGTAGTAGTAGTAATGATAATAACAGTAGTTTTAGTTGTGGTAGTGAAGGAATACTAACGTAGGACCAATTTATTGTTAAGTGCACAATCACGCAAGGGTCTAATAAAATGTGAAAATCACACATCAATTACACCATTTGCACATCTTTGAATTGTTTCTTAAAGGCTTCATTGTTCCTTCATTCCTGTTGTTATCTTGATTACTTTCGATTTCCTTCCCTAATCTCTTCATTTCAATCTTCTCAACCTCTTGGTCTCAGACATCCCACTTCGTACTTGTGTTACATACTACTTATATCTGCGAACACAAGTAACATACACCACAGTAGCAGGGATAGCAATAATAATAAAGATAGAAGAGTTGTGTAATGTGAATAATATCGAAGATAGTTTAAATTACCATACGACTTCTTAGATGAATGACAATTTAAGACTTCTCACTAGTACCCATGTATAACCGTTGCAGAAATTGTAATATATTAGGAATGTGGTTAGTTATCACCATTGTGCTATGCTATGAAATGAGCAGAGTTAAACATGTGAATTATTACATACCAATGCTGTAGTTGTAAGTTAATACACATTAAGTGACTTTAGAGTCTTGAGTTCTGTTGTGTTTGGCTGTTGTTGCCTGTGAACTTCTGAAAATAGTCTCATTATTAGGACGAAACAGCTATCAAATAATCTTTAATTCTCAATGATTTGTTAGATAAATTCTATCTGTGATGAATAAGGATTCGATTAAAGAATTTGATGTTTCCTTAGTTTAAAAAAGATAGAATCCTCGCAGGGTCTGTTTAACAGACTTATCACAATAATATGAAAATGTCACACCTTAATCTACACCATTATTGTTTATAATATGAATGGATATTGAGAAAACAACTGTTGTTCTTAGGTAACAATGAAAATAGTAAATAGATTCCGTGTACTATATATAAACTTCACTTCATAATGTGAATTTACTTTTTATGCTAGGATAAATGACCTATCTAATTTGTTTAATTAGTTGCATGATATTAAAATAGGCCAATGTTTGGTTATGTTAACTATTTGGTTGGTTACAATAAACGCTTTCATATGTAGAGCTTAGTATTAAATATAACAGTGGTTTTATTTACTCAAAACTAATCGAGAACATATTATTCATCATTATTATGGTCTTTATTATTATTATAATGATTATTATTATTACTATCACATACTATTCTTTGTTTTCTTATATCTTACAATATTTTGTTATAGCTGTTCCAAGATTATTTCACCAAAGGTAGTTGTCCAATGCTTAAAGAAGTTCGACGTCGTATTATGAACAATTTTCTAGAATCTAGACGAACACCTGTAGGAATACGTGCAAAAATTAAACGTCTTCAAAAAAGTGGACAATGGACAGATTACATTACTACCTGACAAGAAACAATTTATCAAATCAATCTTGTTTATTTATATGCATATATATATCCTCTGAAATTTTGGTATTTCATTATTACCTCATCCATCAGCTGCTTCTGATTATATCAGTGAATAATAGTTATAACATAGAGGGATGTATAATTACTTTTTTCTTTCCTATAATCTTATATAATTGGGCTTCCTTCAACTGTCCTTCTCCTCTCTTCGATTCACTTCATTTTCATCAAAAAGTCATTTTCATCCTATTTTTTTATCACAACCAACTGACTAGTCACTTTATACACCATACATGCATATATTGTATGATAGTACAGTAACAATCTGATTATATAAAATCAAACAATACTCATTCTCCATACCAACATACGCAATCCGGTCATTAAATTTCTTTTCTTGGATCGTAGTAGACTCGCCTTTATGTTTGTGTTGTACATACGCATACTTACATGTATGTATCCATATATATATATATATATATATATATATATATATATATACACATAAAACTGTATACACAACTAATAGGTATCTACCTCGTTGTTTGTTTCATTCAGAAATTCTGTTGTACTCTGCTTGTTTCGTGTTTACTTTTTTTTCGTCATAGATACAGTTATACTTGTTGGTTATTTATGTTCATTGGATTGTTTGCGTTGTCTTTTGTAATCAATTCGTTTAAATTATCAGTAATCAATTAAAAAGTTGCTTTTCATTAGTTACATCATATTTTATTTTCAAATATTTTTATCGGTGTTTAGGGGTGTTTAGACCTTTAAAATGTTTCTATTTTTCTTGTCAACCGTCTCTTACAATCGTATTTCTGTTTTTGTTTTTTTTGTTTTTAAAATAAATATTTTGCTTTTCATTTATAAACTAAACAGTTTTTTTCCTCAGTGAATATTTTCATTGTTCGTTCTCACTCGTCCATCCTTCTAGTCGTTACTATGTTATGATCTCACGTGGTGATTACATTATTACTTTGTGAATATTGAACTATACACAATAAGGTGACTGGATTTATATATATATTCCTAAGAAGTCATTGAATTATTCCATTCCATTGGTTTTTCCTTACTTCCATACTTTCACTTCAATAAATCATGGTTGTCAATCTATATCTACCTACTGATTTTTGTGCTGATCAGTTTATTCGTTCATCATTTTTTCCCCACAATCTGTATTAGTTTTATTTCTAAGATTTATTGAGTTTGATTGTTATTAGTAGTATTTTTTTTTCAATATTATCATTTATATGTATTTTGTATTGCATTTCATTGATAATCAGTTTTTTCCTAATTATATGTGTAGAGGTTTGGGCACCTGTAATATATTATGCTTCATGGTTAGTAGTGTAAGTAGTAGTAGTAGTAGTGGTAGAGATAAGCATTCATATAAACTACTTTATTACTTTTCAAATCGTCTGTTATTTATTTTCTACAAATATGTCTTGTCTTCTTAGTGGTTTTACATGTCCAATTATTGGTTATTTCTTGCTTTTGTTTTTTTTAAATCATAAAAAGACCCGATTATATCAATCAACATTTCTCTCTCCCTTTCAATATGGAAATTCTTATTATTCTCCATCTACTGTACTCATGGATGGTAATGAAGATCTATTCAAAAGTTGTTTGATTATTGATGATGTTGATCATTTCTTGAAAATGAACTATTATCCTTCTCTTCTTTTTTTTGAAACATAAAATCGAATGGTCAGTAATAGTTTACTTCCTACTTTAAACTGGATAATGATATTGTCTTTTTGATTATGCTGAATAAAATATTGAATTATCTGAATGTAAAGAGTAGGGTAGAGAATTGGGGATAAGGTTAATGGGAAATTATTCATTTTGTTAACCATATATACAATATATATATACGTATTATTGTATATTTTATCCCCCCCCTTTGCTTATTATTATTTTTGTGTGTGAAGTGAAATCGCTTATTTGACGCATATATATATGTATATGTATATTGGCTTACTAAAATGTTAATAATGTTTTGACTCTTTCTGTCTATTATTATATTCCATAATATTTTCTATAATAATCATTGTATATTAATTGTATTTTATTCTATTTCATTAGTGTATTATAGCTTTTCAGTTGATTGTTTATCATTTATTCTCCCTTCCTCTCTCTCACTCTCGGCTTCATTCACTCTTGCGTACTTCTATTATTATTATTATTATTGTTTCCTACTGGATTCTTGTGGAATTTATCTCTTACCTTTATTACAAAGATATAATAATAATATTATCATCTTTTAACATTTATCTCACTTTTCAAATGATGTTTATTTTTCTTTTTTTTTTTGTTGTTGTTGTTGCCCCAAAAGTTGTTACTTTTTTTTCTGTATTTATAAAAATCGAAAAGAAAAAGAACAATAAATGGATACATTAAATATATCTACTTTTTATTCTTTCTCTGTATCTTTTTTTTCTTTCTTTCTCTCTCTCTCTTCCATACTCTTTTGAGTTCGTTCTGTTTCTTAATTTCTACTGATAGATAATTAAAATTATAAATAAAATGGAAATGTTATCTTTGTATCTTGAAATTGTTAGTGAAAGTTATTTTTATTTAGGTGTGATTTTATGTGAATGTAAAATGTTAATTAAGTTTTCAAAAGACTTCATTCTATAGCCTTATTTTAGATCACTGCATCAATGACATCTCTCTAACAGTTCATGAAGATCTATCTTTACAGGCGCGAAGATACGTAGCCATAATGTATTACACAGTTGACTAAAGCACATTATACTTCTATGGACATGTTAACATTCTGTCTGCGCCATATATGTCAAAAATAAGCTAAAATTAAATGGGGAGTTTTTATGTACAAGATTTCCTGATTAGACTTTTAATATAATCACTAATTGACATAAATTTCGCTTATTTATTCATTATATTACCAGCTTCTTTATTCTACACGAAGTGTTAATGATATTATTCCAAACAAAGATTAAGGATTTACAATTAAAATACAGAGCTTATAGAAGATACAATCTAATCAAAAGGATCTATATTAACTATGAATTCTCACTATCATTTTAAATTTCTGTAATCACAGTCCTACTTCATTTGTATTAAAAAAACTAGATAAAATAAGGGTAAAGAAAATAACTTTAATACTAATTTTTAGCATTGTTAGAATGAATTTGAATTATTCCGTTGTTAATAATCTTAAGTGGATTTTAATATATATTATATATGTATGACAGTAGCATAACCGTTACACAAGTGAGTGACTATCTGAACTCAATAGTTCATTAGTAAATGCATCAGCTTTCGAAGCAAATTGCTTGAATATAAGCTTAATCATTATCTAACTGATCTATCCCCAATAGAAAGAAAACGTACATTTTAAATCCTAATGCTAGTTGACAATCTATTTTTCCCATGAAAATTGGATTTTAACTATTGTATTTTTTCTAAGAAAATTCTTAGTATCATGTAATTATTGCATAACGATAGAGAAGATTAAATTATGATTATTACTATTACTGTATAACAAGAAAAAACTATATGAATCACTACATTTCGTACTCAATTATTCAATGCCCCCAAATGCCCTGGTACGGCCGAGAGTAGGGAGAGTCCGCTCTCCCTCTCGAAATGCTCTCACATGGCCACGCGTATATAGCCTCTGCCAGGGAGGTCCTACTCACTGCCTTCTCGTGGCGGGGGTGTTGTTTACAAAAATGAGAGAACGAAAAGCGAATGTCCGGCGCTTTGACCGGATTCCAAATCAATGGTGCACATGGGCTCCAGTATCCTGCGGGAACAAATGGCGTATGAACCAATTGTTGGTCACCGGCTTCCATGGGACTGCATCTCCTTACGATGCTCCACTGCCTTGTGGATCAGACCTTCAAGTCGAAGGCTCGGGTTGTGGCCCCCTAAGAAAACCACCTGCTTCGCTTTGGGCACCCGGGCAGTATCACAGCCATCATACACATATCGAATGAGATTTGTGTGGCGCATATGTATTTGGTGCCTCTTTGTACCATTATCTATGTGTTGAAATAAAATAATAAATAAATAAACAATTATTCAATGAATATCATCAACAATATAAAACTCAAGAAGTCCCTCGTTCAATTTTTAAACTTGAAGGAAAATATCCTTTACTTTGTGACAATTTTTCCTGTTGACGAACATAATTCATAATAAAAAGTAATTGTGAGAGTCATCGACATATAGTGATTTCTGTGTAAAGTATTACTTCATATTTAATCGTATATCCATTTGTAATCAGTGTGCAATTCTGACTAGTGTTGAAGACGGATGGAAGAAAGTTAGAGACGGCAAAACCAAAACTTCGCATCAATTCATAAAGTCATTAACTTCTAGTCTGAGCCATGTTATTAGATACAGATTACTTGGTTGGGGTACACATGACTATCATATCCAATGGTTGGAGAATCGGAGTGACACGGCTCAGAATAGACCACAATAGCATAAGTGTATACACTTTAAATATTCCCTCAAACTGTAAGATTAAATTTACTTTATATCGTTCTACGTGCTATATCTTTCTGTATCATATCCTTATATGCAATCTTTTTTGTCGCATATATTACTACCATTGAAGTAATTACTTTCATGAATTTGATGTTCATCTTATTGTACTAATGAAATATGACAACTTGGACCGATGTATATATGTTGTTGGTCCTACGTTATAGACGACTGACTAATCATTTTTCTGAAAATTAATTGTCACTTTTTATTTATTAACAACTCTATATATTTGGATAGTTTCATAAATATTAAAAATTATAAATAATCTGTTCATTGTTTACTTGAGTGTTTTTTTCAGACCATTAATTAAACTGTCTTTTTTTCATCAGATAAATATTTTGTCAGTAGATAGATTAGATAAAATGAAGTAAATAATTTATTATGATGATGATGGTCCCCCCCACACACACATACAAATGACGATGTTCATTATTTGTTGAATCGATTGACACGGTGTTTTATTTTTCAATCTTCCAACCGTTAATTAATTATTTTTTTCTATTTTTGTTGATATGCTGTTTTTGTTTTTGTAATTATTGAATTGATAGTAGTAAACGGTTGCAGAATAGAAGAAATATTATTAGAATCCATTTGTTACATTATACTTTTAATCATAATTATTTATAATAGTGTTAGTTTCTATGTATCATTAATTAAATGACAGTCTATGTGTTGTATGATCAAAATAATAATTTTTTTCCATCTGCTGTACATGAATCGTCAGAATTAATTGGCTATAGAATGTTGTGAAATATTCTAATATAGGCCTATTTTGTATAAATGTAATATTCAGTATGAAATAGGAAAAAGCAATGGTATGTAAGTTGTTGACTGTTGTTTTTAATTCTTTTTTATAAAAATCCAATGTAAAGTTTAGGATTGAAATAGTTTGATAAGAGATTGGTTCAATTTAGTCGATACCCATCTTAAAGTGTTATATTTATTACTTTTTTTATTGGTTGGGTAGGAAGAAGAATATTTTTTGAGGATGAGATTCAGAGTATATTGTTGTTGGGACGTTAGATCCACAGAACTCACTTGGGAAAGGACCTAATTTTGTAATTTATTCAGAGAATTTGAATTTCTTTGTTTTCGCTCCAAAGGCGCCCTTGTCACCTTCATGTCGTATTTCTCACTGGGAAATATCCTAAATGCTATTGTTCCGTTGCGTTTTTTAGTATGCTATTTGATAACTCTCCCCAAGAACGGTTTTGCACTGTATATATACGTTTTGAATTGTGTTTGTTGTTATCTCTCGTTTCTGGCTGTTTTGCAGAATATG